CCAGGTTCACCCTGCTGTCCCTCATGGAGGCGTCTGTCCAGTCCTCCATGAAGTCAGGGCCATCCACGGTCTCACTCACCCACCCACAGATCCAGCTCACTGCCAGCCACTCTTTCCCCCATGAATTATTCATCCATCCACAGATGCTCCATCCATAACTCGACCATCTACACACCACACAGCCACCCACCCATCCACCCAAACACCTATGCCCACAACATCCACCCACTCACCCATCACCCACCCATCCACCCACTGGGAACCATCCATCCATTCATCTACCCACCCACCCATCATCCATCCCCCCCATCCTCCACCCATGCACCCAACGGTACCTATCCATTTATCCACCCACCCAGCTGTCCATCCATCCATCCATCCATCCATCCATCCATCCATCCATTCATTACCCAGCCACTCATTCATCCATCCATCCATTCATCCATCCATCCATCATCCACCCACGCACCCAACGGTACCCATCCATCTACCCCACCCAACTGCCCATCCATCCATTCATTACCCAGCCATTCATCCATCCATCCATTCATCCATCCATCCATCTACCCACCCAACCAACAGTCCATCTATCCATTCATTGCCCAGCTATTCATTCATCCATCCACCCACCCATCTATCCACCTACCCATCCATCCACCCATCTGTCCATCCACAACAGTCTTGCTCTGTTGCCCAGGCTTCAGTGCAGTGGTGCCATCTCAGCTCACTGCAGCCTCCGCCTCCCGGGTTTTTGTATTTTTAGTAGAGATGGGGTATTGTCACGTTGCCCAGACTGGTCTCGAACTCCTGGGCTCAAGTGATACACCCGCCTTGGCCTCCCAAAGTGCTGGGACCAGAGGCATAAGCCATCGCAGCCAGCCATGGCCTCAATCCTTTTTTCTTCCCCCCACTCTGTCACGCAGCCTGGAGAGCAGTGGTGCAATCTTGGCTCACTGCAACCTCCGCCTCCAGGTTCAAGCGATCCTCCCACCTCAGCCTTCCAAGTAGCTGGGATTACAAGCATGCACTACCACGTCTGGCTAATTTTTTGTATTTTTAGTAGAGGCGGGGTTTCCCCATGTTGCCCAGGCTGGTCTCGAACTTCTGACCTCAAGTAATCCACCTGCCTCGGCCTCCTGAATTGCTGGGGTTACAGGCGTGAGTGACCTCTCTCGGGCATTGCCCCAATCGTAATTCCTGCTTTGTTGTGGCATCTTAGCAGGGGATCAGCCCTCAGCCCAGCCCTGGGGAGGGCACAGGTCAGGGCTGGGCGCTTCAGGAAGGGAAAAGCCATCACTGAACATCCCAGGGTGGAATTGGGTGGAGGGAGCTGAGTTCATGTCCCGTGAGCATTCATTGAGCACCTGCTGCATGCAGGCATGAGGCCCGGGGCAGACGTGGAAAGTGGGGAGCACCGTTTGTTTGCCCCTGACACCTGGTTTGAAAACCACCCACTTTAACCTGTGGGCGGCCAGCAGACCCCCCTGTGCCAAGGGCTCAGGTGGAGATGAGTCAATGTGGGAAGAGGCCCCTGGCAATTATGCATTTGTTCTCTCCACTCTCATCATCAGCATGATTTTGCTGGGACGGGCAGACAGTATCAAGCCCGGGGAGGGTTTGAGGTGGAGCCTGGGCGTGGCCTTAAAAATACCTAACCTGCCGGGCGCGGTGGCTCACGCCTGTAATCCCAGCACTTTGGGAGGCCAAGTCGGGCTGATCACAAGGTCAGGAGTTCGAGACCAGCCTGGCCAACATGGTGAAACCCTGTCTCTACTAAAAATGCAAAAATTAGCCCAGCGTGGTGGTGCATGCCTGTAATCCGAGCTACTCGGGAGGCTGAGGTGGGAGAATTTATTGAGGTCGAAAGGTGGCGGTGGCAGTGAGCTGAGATTGTGCCAGTGCACTCCAGCTTGGGCAAGAGAGCAAGACTCTATCTCAAAAAATAATAGTAATAAATAAAATAATAATAATAATGAAGGCCGACACAGTGACTCACACCTGTAATTCCAGTGCTTTGGGAGGCCAAGGCAGGAACATCACCTGAGGTCAGGAGTTCAAGACTAGCCTGGGTAACATAGTAAGATCTTGTCTCTACTATATATATATATATATATATATACACATTTTTGTTTTTGAGACGGAGTCTTGCTCTGTCACCCAGGCTGGAGTGCAGTGGCGTGATCTCCGCTCACTGCAAGCTCCGTCTCCCGGGTTCACGCCATTCTCCTGCCTCAGCCTCCCGAGTAGCTGGGACTACAGGCGCCCACAACCATACGCTAATTTTTTGTATTTTCAGTAGAGACAGGTTTTCACCGTGTTAGCCAGGATGGTCTTGATCTCCTGACCTCGTGATCCACCTGCCTCGGCCTCCCAAAGTGCTGGGATTACAGGCGTGAGCCACTGCGCCTGGCCTATTTTTAAGTTTTTTGAGATGGAGTATGGCTCTGTCGCCCAGGCTGGAGTGCAGTGGTGCAATCTCGGCTCACGCCAACCTCTACCTCCTGGGTTCAAGCGATTCTCCTGCCTCAGCCTCCCGAGTTGCTGGGATTACAGGCGCCCACCACTACCACCAC